GCAATCTGCCAGCTATGGAAATCAGAGACACAGAGCTGGAGTCCCTGCTGAATCCCCACATGACCCAGGGAATCAGTTACTATGGGGCTGTTATGCCTTTATGTCACCGTCAGAATAATTAATAGGAGCAGCATCTCCAGGAGCAGCATCATTCCGAATGGCTAGAGCCAACTATTAAAAATATAATCATGTCCTCCGAATACCTGACTGACCAGCATAATGTCCCTCTAAGTAGAAAAAAGATAGGACTTGGCTGCAAATAATATTAGCCCCAATTTTTATTGAGGCTGCTGGATACAGATAGAACCTGGCAGTTACCTCTGGCTGTCTAGATCCCAGATTAATTAAACATAGCAGTTCTTACTGTTTGTTCCCTGCTGGCCCTTCATACAGGTTTTGTGTCTTGAAGGGGCCAATGAAAGGGTGGAAACAGCTCCCCGGACATATGTACCCCATTGCTGTGGCTCAGAGAAGAGTCATGAAAATGATTAAAGGACTGGAAAACATGAAGTGAGGGACATAAGGATCTCAATCTGTTAATTTTAACAAAGAGAAGGGTAAGGGGTGATTGATCACAGTCAGTAAATGCCCATATGGCAAACAGAAATTTGATAATAGTGTTCTTTGATCTAAAAGACAAGTTTCAATGGCTGGAAGTTGAAGCTAGACAAATTCAAACAAGAAGTAAGGTGCGAATTTTTAACAATGAGGGTAATTTACTACTGGACCAACTTCTCAAGCATCATGGTGGATTCTCCATCACTGGGAATGTTTAAATCAAAATGGGGTGTTATTCTAAAAGCTGTGCTTTAGTTTCAGGGATGTCATATGGCTTGTGTTGTACAGTAGGTCAGACTAGATGATCCCAATGATCCCTTCTGCCTTTATAACCTATTGGTAAGGGGGCTCACCCCCCAGGTGATGGAACAACTCCATGTGAGCCCTCTTGGTGTAGGGAGGGAGAGGAAGGGGCACTGTCAGAGCACAGGGACTCTAGCTATTCTCAGCTGTCCACACATGCTAGAATACTGTTGTAGCCTAAACATAAGTGAGAGCTGCTCTGAGGCTGCCTGAAAATATAGGGAGCACAAAGGTGACTTTAAGTTCCTTTTCCATCACCCTTCTGCTCCAATCCTGCTTGAAGTGCAAGAACAGAGACACAGGACCAACCTACTGTTGCCACATGGAGGTTTTGAGTCTAGGTTGCTCTAATCCTGCAGAGGGCACTAGGGTAAAAGAAGGCTTCAAGCCACAGTGCACTGCAAATATTCTCCTCCATTTTGTTTCTCTGATAACTGGGACAAGGAAGGACTCCTGAAGCATTTCCCTTTAGAGTTTCACTTTGTGTGGTCGAGACAAAGTCTTGAAATCTACCAGGTGTTCTAACAATGAATGTTTCCTATACATTCAAGTAGTAGATGGGCTGGGTATAGGACCATTGAGGACATACCAAGCACTTAGAATTGTGTTTTTCACATCAGCAAAGATTTTCCTCCTCTTCATCATCTGTAGGGCATAATATGGAGAGATTGCAGTACAATGCTCTTTAACTTCTAACTCACCCTTGGTGCTTGCAGCAGCAAGATTGTCATTTCTTAATTCTACTGTTTCACATCACCACTGCAATTCCGAGAGCTGGTGAATCAAACATCCTTTCTGGCAAGCATATTTCTGGCTGAAATAAATTCAGTACGTCCTCCAGGAAGAATGATATCCCAGATCTGAGTTAATCAGTTACCAAAGAACTTTCCATCACTTCCTGATTCCATTTTCTCAGGCAGAACAGTCAGTCTTGAATTTTGAATACTTGCGTGGTTTTCAAGGAGACCAGTTCTGCTCAGTAGTCTAACTATCTCATTAAAAACTGCATCTTATCTGGTGATCAGTTCAAGCCAAAGCCCTGGATCTGAACAGTTTGAAGAAAGAGAGGTTGTTTCAGAATAATCTGAATTTTGCCCCTATTTCTGTGGTGGATATACCAAATACTGTACTTAATTTGTGGGTGCAGTCAGGTATTGAAAAATGTAAGTGACCGAACTGTGTGTGAAAACAAAGTTTTTTTCCCCTGTGATCAGCTAATTCACATTTTTTCTTCCTCTTCCTTTAAAACTCCTCCTCACCCTTCTTACTCCTTCCTCCACTTGGCATCCTAACCCACTTGGCTTCCTCACAAGAATGAGAGAGAAGTAAATGACCTTAGCCTAAGTTTCTTTTGCAGGCAAGTCTCCTAGTGAAGGCAGTGGGAGTTCTGAGTGCACAAGGAGGATCAGGCTCTAACTTTAAATATGATACTTTTATTTAAAAAAAAAGTTGTAATCATTTGTAAAATAAAAGGTTTAGAATTAAAGTCACTTCTGAGCCAATAACATAATCCTATTTTTGGATTGTGGGACTACTGAATGGTAAATAACACTTTTCCCATAAAATGTTTCCATCTGGTATGTTTTCTTGCTGAGATATATGATATTACTGCTATTTAACAAATATTTAAAGCTATGTGTGTGGCAAATTTTATATCCACCAAAACCATTATAAAGGTGAGCTATTGCAAGAAGAAATGTTTCCTCAGTAAAGTATCAGATTAAATGCTATATGTATATTTAAAACACTCTCTATTGCATTCTTTCATTTTGTACACTAATCCAGCCAAGCCAGAGTCTCCACAGCAAAAGAAATGACACACTGAGGCCATAATGCAGGTGATATCTGCGGTCAGAGAAGGACAAATATATGAGGATGTCATTTTCTAAAAGGTAAGAGTTGTAGCTATTCTCCCTTCACTTTCATTTGATATAGCTCTGGTCAATTTCACAGCCTTTACCAGTACTGAATGGGGAAATTGGAAAACTGCAGAATCGATTTGCAGGAATGAAGTTCTATTTTCTTTTACACCTCTTTCATCAGAGTCACTATCATTCCTGTGTTGTGTGGTATGATTATCGACAGCAGTCTGGGCACTGCTGATAATTGCTAACAGAGGGTAAAACCATTCCCGGCAAGAGAAAGTAGAACCATGTAAGCAGCAGTCATGACATAGAACAGTACTATTTTTACCTTCAATGTATGCTTCTGCAGGACATCAGTAATGCACTTGTTTAATTATTTCTGAGATTCAAAGGTAAAGACTTTATTATCTAAGATCTTAATTTAAATTAATGGTGCCTTTCTTTGCTTGTCTTGTTTATACAAAAAAAAATTAAAAATTACAGAAAATTACTTCTCTGCTTACCATAGAACTGCAGATCTTGTTAAATCAAGGAAAGAGAAAAAACTATCAGTATCCTAAATGTATTTAGAATGTAGTGGCTTCTCCTTTCATTTAACCTGCAGTTCACAAAAGGAAAACAGTTCTGTACGTTCCTTCTGATAACCATTCAAGTCACAAAAGTGAAACTTGGTTCATTATTGTTTTCTCCTACTGGGCTATCATTTGGTCATTGCAAATAACTCTGAACAAAACCAATAGCCTCCAACCACTAATCTCTATTCCGAAAAAGAGATTGTGCTTTGTACTGTTCTAGATCATTGACAACAAAACAGTTTTTTGTCCATTAAATTAGTTTGGTTGCCTCTTTGCTATTTACTACCATAGCACCTAGGAACCCCAATCATGAACCAAGACCCCATTGTGCTAGGGACTAAACAAATGTAGAAAAGATGGTCCCTGCCCCAAAGAACTTACAATCTAATTAAACCTTTTTTGGCTGTTTTTTCCAGAAAAATCAACATAATGGAATGAAGTCCTTACTGATTGTGTTATCCAATTAGTATTACACCACTGACCATATCCCCTATAAATGGTGTTGGGAATATTGCCCTGGTTGTCTATTTCTGCTTCATGCTCCTGGTGGTCTTCTCCAGTGAAGGTAGCAATTTTTGCAGGCCCAAATAAGATGGAAACAAACTTTCTAAAAACTAATCCCTCCATGGCCCCAAGTCTGCAACTGCAACCACACGCAGGAGAGACTGTACCTTTGTGATGATGCCGCCCTGAAGTCAGCCAGTCTTTGGGTGGGCACCGATAACTGCCTGCCAGGACCAGAGCCCAAGCCTGCTTCAAAATTTGGCCACACTCTTGCAAACGCTGGGGCATATGCTTAACTTTACGGCCGGGAGTGGTCTTGTCAAAAAGCACAAACAATCATGAGCCTGCACGGGGAGGCTTTCCCCCTTCGTGAGTCTGTAGCTGTGGCGTCCGTCCTAAGGCATTCAGGCTCCCACGGCCTCGGTTTTCTGCAGAAGAGACGGGGGTGCAGGGCCACAGAAAGGGAAGCCTCTGAGTGAATCTGAGAAGGAGGAGGTGTGGACCGGTATGTCGCGGCTTGTCTAGAGGGGAACTAGCTCAGAATGGCAGCTAAGCTGGGCCCAGGAGCTGGTGTGGGAGAAGCGCGCCAGGGCGGGGAGCTGGGGCGGGACCAAGCGCCCCTGTCCCAGGAGCTGGCGCAGGACAAGTACCTTGGGGCGGGGCAGGGCAGGGCAGCTGCCGTGGGTTCGCTTCCCACCCCAGCCAGGCGCGCAGTTGCCGCCCCATGCGCCCTCAGACGGAGGGGTTGCCAACCCCCCCGGAGTGGCCTGGAGTCTCCAGGCATGAAAGATGAAGCCTGAATGAAAGATCAGGCCCTGGGATGAAATCTCCAGGAATTCTTCCCACCACACCTGGCAACCTGGCCCTCCTCCATGTGCCCGGGGCGAGGGGGGTCTGGTGGCCCCGCCAGCCCCGCCCCCAAGGCCTTGGGGCCAGCGCCCCCCGGAGTCGGGAACGCTGGGAGGGATGACAGGGCCCCCCCGCCTCAGCCACCCGCTGCGAACTACAAGTCCCAGCGGTTCCGCCGCGGCGGGCCTCAGGAACTACGCATCCCAGCATGCACCGCGCGCGAAAGGCCCGCGCCCCTCCCCGTCCCGGCGCGTGAGAGGGGAAGACTACGTTTCCCGGCATGCACTGCGGGCCCCCGCCAATCGGCGCGTGGTAGCTTGGCTGGTGCGGGGAGGCTGGTTGGCTGGCGAGGCAGTATCCGCCCCCCGGAGAGGAGCAGGGGAAGGGGAAGCGGCCCCGGCCGTGACATTTCCCTCGCTCGCAGCCCGGGCCCCGAGAATGGCAGCGCTGGGAGGTCGGTGCGGCCGGGCCGGGGAAAGGGTGTCTGGGGGGAGGGGTGCCGGGAGGGGGGGGTTTCTGAGGGGGGGGCAGAGCTGGGGGGTGTCTGGGGGGAGGGGTGTCTGGGGGCGGAGCTGGGGGGTGTCTGGGGGGAGGGGTGTCTGAGCGGGGGCAGAGCTGGGGGGGAGGGGTGTCTGAGGGGGGGCAGAGCTGGGGGGTGTCTGGGGGGAGGGGTGTCTGAGCGGGGGCAGAGCTGGGGTTGCCTGGGGGGGGGGGTGTCTGAGGGGGGCAGAGCTGGGGGGGTCTGGGGAGGGGGTGAGCAGAGCTGGGGGGGAGGGGGTGTCTGGGTCTGAGGGGGGCAGAGCTGGGGGGGGTGTCTGGGGGGCAGGTGGGGGGAGGGGTGTCTGAGGGGGGGGCAGAGCTGGGGGTTGTCTGGGGGGAGGGGTGTCTGAGGGGGGCAGAGCTGGGGAGGGGGAGAGCTGGGGAGGGGCGCCTGGGGAGGGGCAGAGCTGGGGAGGGAGCTGGAGGTGTCTGGGGAGGGGCAGAGCTGGGGGGGGAGCGGGGGGTGTCTGGGGAGGGGCAGAGCTGGGGGTGCCTGGGGGGAAGGGTGTCTGAAGGCAGAGTGAGTGGGGAAGAGAACTGTGGGTGGGGTGTCTGGGGAGTAGTGTCTGGAGGAGAGTGTTTGGTTGGGGGTGCAGATTTGGAGGTGTACCTGATGGGAGGTACAGGAGGTGTACCTGCCTGTAGAGGGGAAGGAAAATGAGGGAGAAGGAGTAACATGGGGGTCAGAGTGTCTGGGGTGCTAGCTCAGGGGAATATAAGTTGGGGAGAACAGAGTGAGGAGGGGAGCAGAGGTGAGCAGTCGTGGAACTGATTGGAAAGGGAAATCAGGGAGAGAGCTGGTGGGAGGAGTTTGCAGGTCAGTGGTGTCAAATCCTGCAAATAAAGAAGCTGGGATGCAGGGGTGAGAAGCTATATGTTGCCAGCTCCATTTTTATGGGGAGCTTCTTTGGTTTTGCATGTTGGTTAGGCGACTGGCAGATGGGAGAGTTGTTCTGGACCTGTTCAGTGTTGGTATGTGGGAGTTTGCATTCCCGTCTCACACCTACAGAAGGAAGTATATGTTTTTTTGCAGCTCTCAGAGTTTGTGCTGTCTCTCCAGGCACGAGGAAGTGTTGGAGTTGAACTTAGAAAAGGGTTGCTGTTTTTTATTGAGTAGTATCACTGTTCTCAATACTAAACAAGGACCGGTGACTCACCTGTACTGAGGAGAATGCACTCTAGTTTAGAATATCAAAGTTGTCACATCTTGCTCAGTGCTGTGGAGAGACTCTTTTACTGAATACTTATTTTAAGGGAAGTGCTTAAAGTTCTTTCTGGAAAAAGGAGTATTTTTTGAGAATTGCTCTAAGAATGATTCAATGAGATATTGAGAATCTTAGGCCCCAAGCCTGCCAGCAGATTCTTGTGCACATCAGAGCCCTATTGATTTCACTGGGACTTGTGGGACAAGGTTGTGTCTGGCTTTTGTATAGGGAAATGTTGCAGCACACTAGCACAAGACAGGTTTTAAATCTCCCATCTATCATGTTTTTTTTTTTTTAAATGTGTTTAGCCCTGAATGCATTATGACTATTTTCTGTGCAGTCAGCAGCATTATCTGACTTACAGTTTTCAACACTTCATTTTTCCTGTTGAGCTTTCCTTTGTTGTTGTTGAACAGAAGACTCGTTTCCCTTACGAAACAGGTTGTTGCGCTGGAAACATTGCTCAATTTTCATTTTGGGCTTTACCTTATTAGGAACCATCAGATATTTTCAGAAGTGTACAGTTTTTAATTTCTTTTCATGATAGACGTCGAGTCCTTTCACATTTGAGTAATAATTTTAAGTGCTAGCCAAATAATTTTTGTAAAATACATACATATTTATACATAATGTTGTTTAATATTTGTGGTTGTGCATATTTGCTATTGAAAATGTAAACTGTACTTTAGGACTGTAATCTTGCCAGTTATTTGGAAAAGTCAGTAGCCAATGTTTATTTCCCATTTCATTGTTAAGCAAGTACATAAGTGTTTGGAGAATCGGGAACTGAGTCACTGACTTGTTTCATTCTTTTGTAAAAATGGGATAATAAAATACTTCCAATAGCTCAATAAGGATTGGGATAACTGGGTGAAAGATTATGTAATATATAAGTGCAAAATATTTATCATGTGACTGTTTCATCTTAAAGTTGATAGGTGTAATTTACAGATTTAGCCACATAAGAGATTGTGGAATTTAGAGAAATGAGGAATCTCAAATCAGTAGTCATTCTTAATGCTGATATATGGTGTATTTGTGTTAATATGGATATATTCTTGATAGTGTGCTCTGTTGCTTTTTCTTTATTGAAATACCAGTGAGGCTATTTTGTTTTTTTTAAATAGAACTAAGTAAGTTTTCACAAACACTGAATGGAATTCCTTCTTCAAACACAGTCAGCAGTGGAATGGATCCCTTTCATGCTTGCAGTATTCTCCAACAACTTAAAACAATGTACGATGAAGGACAGCTGACAGATATTGTAGTGGAAGTTGATCATGGGAAGACATTTTCCTGTCATAGGAATGTTCTTGCTGCAATCAGTCCTTATTTCAGGTATAGTATGTAGGTCCCTGCACTCGTATTTACCAAGTGCAAAATCACTTTAATAATTTATTAAATATTTTAATTATTGATAGCAATTATAAAACTTATACCCATCTGCAGCTGTATTCTGTGTGACTTCTGCTAGTGATGACATTTCAGATTTAAGAAACATCTCTGTTTCTTCAATGATCTCTTCCAATTTGCTTTTAAAATGAATGAATTGGCAGCACCTGCATTTTCAAGGAAACTTACTTTGGAAATGATTTCATCTTCATGTTGTCTTTTTTTAAAAAAACCCTCTTCTCTGTGGGAGATCCATTCCATATTTTTTTTATCATCATAGCATTCAAAATTTATTTATCTTTCCTTAACATCATTCATACATTCTAGCATATTGACATGCAATGCATTACAACTTATGATCCTGGGTTGAGTGTGCCGACTGGAAATTTGAGAGAACCTATTTATGTGTGTAAATTGAGCAAACTAGATATGGAATTAATGAGACACAAACATGAAACTCCAAACTGTCATTTCTGAGTCACTTGTAAGAGTATAAGTGCACTTTATATTTAGGTAACTGCCCGCGACAGCATTATATGAATGATGATCAGATATGTGCTGTTAATAGGGCTGTCAAACAATTAAAAAAATTAGTTGCGATTAATCATGCTGTTAAACAATAATAGAATACCATTTATATCAATATTTTTGGATGTTTTCCACATTTTCAAATATATTGATTTCAATTTCAACACAGAATAGTGCTCACTTTATAATTTTTATTATAAATATTTGCACTGTAAAAATAAAAAATATTTTTCAATTCACTTAATACAATTACTGTAGTGCAATCTTTTTATCATGAAAGTTGAACTTACAAATGTAGAGTTATGTACAAAAAATAACTGCATTAAAAAATAAAACAATGTAAAACTTTAGAGCCTACAAGTCCGCTCAGTCCTATTTCTTGTTCAGCCAATCGCTCAGGCAAACAAGTTTGTTTACATTTATAGGAGATAATGCTGCCTGCTTCTTGTTTCCAATGTCGCCCAAAAGTGAGAACAGGCATTCGCGTGGCACTGTTGTAGCCAACATTGCCTGATGCGCTAAAGATTCATATGTCCCTTCATGCATCAACCACCATTCCAGAGGTGAACATGGGTTCTGCTCAATAATGATCCAAAGCCATACAGACCAAAGCATGTTCGTTTTCGTCATCTGAGTCAGATGCCGCGAGCAGGAGGTTGATTTTCTTTTTTGTGGTTTGGGTTCTGTAGTTTCTGCATCGGAGTGTTGCTCTTTTAAGACTTCTGAAAGCTTGCTCTCAGATTTTGGAAGACACTTCAGTTTCTTAAACTGTGGGCCAAGTGCTGTAGCTATCTTTAGAACTCTCACATTGGTACCTTCTTTGCATTTTGTCAAATCTGCAGTGAAAGTGTTCTTAAAACAAACATATGCTGGGTCATCATCTGAGACTGCTATAGCATGAAATGTATGGGAGAATGTGGGTAAAACACAGAGCAGGAGACATACAATTCTCCCCCAAGGAGTTCAGTCACAAATGTAATTAACGCATTATTTTTTGACCGCTTGGAAGCGTGTCCTCTGGAATAGTTGACGAAGCATGAAGGGGCATACGAATGTTTAGCATATCTGGCATGTGGCTGGCTACAAAAATACCATGTGAACGTCTGTTCTCACTTTCTGGTGACATTGTAAATAAGAAGTGAGCATTATCTCCTGTAAATGTAAACAAACCTGTTTCTCCTTAGTGACTGGCTGAACAAGAAGTAGGACCGAGTGGACTTGTAGGCTCTAAAGTTTTACATTGTTTTGTTTTTGAGTGCAGTTATGTAACAAAACAAAATCTACATTTGTAAGTTGTGCTTTCATGATAAAGAGATCTCACTACAGTACTAGTATGCAGTGAATTGAAAAATACTATTTCTTTTATCATTTTTACAGTGCAAATATTCGTAATAAAAATAATGTGAGCACAGTACACTTTGTATTCTGTGTTGTAACTGAAATATATTTGAAAAATGTAGAAAAACATCCCAAATATTTAATAAATTTCAATTAGTATTCCATTGTTTAACAGTGCGATTAAAACTGCGATTAATTGTGATTAATTTTTTTAGTTAATCCCGTGAGTTAACTGCGATTTAATTGACAGCCCTAGCTGTTAGAATGGTATGCACGTTATGATAAACTATATTACAGTTATCTTTAGACCTGTAGATAGAAGGGAATTGAAAATAAACTGCTAAATATTTTTCTTTTGTAGATCTATGTTCACTAGCGGCCTTACAGAAAGTACCCAGAAAGAAGTTCGTATAGTTGGTGTTGAAGCAGAGTCAATGCATTTAGTATTGAACTATGCATATACCTCCAGAGTAATGCTGACAGAGGCCAATGTCCAAGCTTTGTTCACTGCAGCTAGTATCTTCCAGATCCCTTCCATACAGGACCAGTGTGCTAAATATATGATCAGTCATTTGGACCCACAAAACTCTATTGGGGTGTTTATCTTTGCTGATCACTATGGTCATCAGGAACTCAAAGACAGATCACAAGACTACATTCGTAAAAAGTTTCTGAGTGTCACCAAAGAGCAAGAGTTTCTCCAGTTGAGAAAAGACCAACTCATAAGTATACTGGACAGTGATGACTTAAACGTAGACAAAGAAGAGCATGTTTACGACAGCGTTATAAGGTGGTTTGAACATGAACAAAATAAAAGAGAAGTGCACCTTCCAGAAATATTTGCCAAATGCATCCGCATGCCTCTGTTGGAAGAAACATTTTTAGAGAGAATCCCTCCCATGTTTGCACAGGCTATAGCCAAAAGCTGTGTACAAAAGGGACAACCTAGTGCCAATGGCTATACACAACGGCTTGGAATGACTGCTTCTGAAATGATCATGTGCTTTGATGCTGCCCACAAACACTCAGGAAAGAAGCAAACAGTGCCTTGTTTAGATTCAGTCACAGGGAGAGTGTTTAAACTATGCAAACCACCAAACGATTTGAGGGAAGTTGGAATTCTTGTATCACCTGATAATGATATTTACATTGCAGGAGGCTACAGGCCAAGCAGCAGTGAGGTCTCCATAGACCACAGAGCAGAGAGTGACTTTTGGATGTATGATCACTCTGGCAATAGATGGCTACCTAAAGCTCCTTTGCTACGAGCCAGAATAGGCTGCAAACTGGTTCATTGCTGTGGTAAACTGTATGCAATAGGTGGTCGTGTTTATGAAGGAGATGGTCGAAATTCACTAAAATCTGTGGAGTGTTACGACAGCAGAGAGAACTGTTGGACAGCTGTCTGTCCAATGCCTGTAGCAATGGAATTTCATAGTGCTGTGGAATATAAAGAGCACATCTATGTTTTACAGGGTAAGGTACATTAACTGTGTAAGCAATTTTGTTTTATCAGTAGGGAAGGGAGTTGTCTAGTTCTAGTGCTTCTACTCCTTTGAACTTCCTAAATTGCTCACTTCCTGCAGATTTTAAGAGTGCCAGAGGAGTAGGGAACCGAGAAAATGGGAGTGGGGGAGAACAGAGGGGAGATGAGAGAGGTAGTGGAGAATGGAAACATGACATTTCTCCTCAAAGTGGGGGCAGCAATTCCACCTCTTGTACACTTTAAGAAGCTCATTGTGAGAGGGAAACTTATCCTCCCTTTGCCTCCACATCCCATGTAATCTGTAGGCTTATTGGGGGCTTTTACAACCTCTCCTCACTTCCTGAGAGGATTAGTAAGCTCAGTACAGCTGGTCAGAAAACTTTCATCCATTGGGGAAGAAAATCCAGTTTTTGACCACCTCTGGCAATGAGCCTCCTATTTTAGCACAAGGTTATACAAGGTGAAGGAGAATGGAGGAGATTAAATAGACTTCATGAAATTGTGATTGTTTACAAACATTAGGGATGTGTTGTCTAAGATGGAGTCTACAAGTAAGCCCAAGGAGCAAGAGATTTTACAGTGAAGGGGAAATGCTGAAGAACTTGACAGAGTTTACCAGTAGGATGTGCAGCAGTCTGTTCTGAGATCCTGAATTCATTATAGTGACGTCAACTACTGTGCCATAATTAAAGGCCTCAGTTATTTTGTTATTAAACCATTACCAATGGAATTATATCACTCTGCTGTAAGAATATATGCAGACCTAATTGTAACATACTTCATAGAAATGTAGGACTGGTAGGGACCTTAATAGGTCGTCTAGTCCAGTCCCCTGCACTGAGGCAGGACTAAGTATTATGTTGACCATCCCTGATAAGTGTTTGTTTGTCTAACCTGTTCTTAAAAACCTCCAATGAGGAAGTTTCTACAATCTTCCTAGGTAAATTGTAACTACCTTTATTTCCTAATGTCTAACCTAAATCTCCTTTGCTGCAATTTAAGCCCATTGCTTCTTGTCCTCTCCTCAGTGGTTAAGAAGAACACTTCCTCACTTTCCTCTTTTGTAACAACCTTTTACATACTTGAAGACTGTTATGTCCCCCCTCTGACTTTTCTCTTCTCCAGACTAAACAAACCCAGTTTCTTCAATCTTTCCTTGTTGGTCATGTTTTCTAGACCTTTTAATCATTTTTGTTGCTCTCCTGTGGACTTTCTCCAATTTGTCCACAGCTTTGCTGAAGTGTGGTGCCCAGAACTGGACACAGCCAAGAACTGGCTTTGTAGAATTTGAGATGATTATTTGAGTGGGAGGCCCAAGATCTGCAGAGAAATCCCACACATCTCTTTAAGCACCTGTAGAGGCTCAGGGCTCAATATGTCAGTCCTGGGCCTTCTGTTGGCTACTTTTCCTGACAGGCTCCCCTCTCTGATCTTGCCAGTCTTTGTGAAGGGGAAACTACAAAAGATGCTGACAGTTCAGCATTACTTCCAGAGGGAGAAGAAACCAATGTAGGTTTGCAAAGAGGCAATATTGCAAATCAGTGCCATGATTCCCTCCCAGCTGCACACCACAGTTGCACTGAGTGGGATTGATAGGATTCCGTGGGATCTGGAGAGAATTCTACAGGGTGGTTGCTTTTTCTTTTTATTGTTCCTGGACTAAGTGAGCAGGGAGAGCCAAATTTTGTTAGTGAAAACCATGTGGTAGTATGTCAGTCTGGAGTTTCAGCTAGAATTCTGAGTTTACCAACTTTTTATTTGGATTTAAGTCAAATGACCCTTAGAGTGTGTCTTATTGAAAAGGAATGCTAGGGGTAGATTTGGTGCAATGCATAGAATGTTGTTCATCCGTTAACATTTTGTTTCAGCCTGCTGCTTAAAAATCTACATTCCTTTTCTTAAAAGCTATTTACAGAAAGTATGTCCCATTTAACTATTTTTCTGAAATAACTAATTGGTAGAAAACTTACTCTCATATTTCACTAAAAAATTTCTGTATCTTCCAAGTGGGAACTTCAGAATAAGAGTATTATTGCTCACATCTTACCAGATGCATGAGAATGCACCTATGCGACTTTTGCTTTTGGATGGTTCTATGGGTTAACTGGATGCTTACACAAATAAAGAAGCTAATCCATTGTGCTACCCAGCCCCCAGTTACATACAGTATAACTGTCGATTGTTTTCCTTACACTTTGCCTCGTGGGCAAAACACTATTGATTTCCACTGTATTATTGGTGCAAAAACTGCATTCTGCAACTTCCATTACCTAGAAAGAAGCAGCATGGCAATTGCTACTGTTCACAAGAAAGTAGCCTTGCGCACTTGCCATAAAAATATACACTTGCCACACACAAGTACACCAAACAAGTTCATAGGATTCAAGTACGGGGGCTGACTTTGGCTGTAAAAGACCCATTGGAGTGCAACTGTTAATTATTTAATTTTGTATCTCAGTGTAGAGAAATCTATAGGTACCCATGTAGCTTAATCTTTTAAACTAAATGCCACCCCTTTCAACTTGCTACCATTGTTGCAGGCTTTTCTTCCATTCAATTATAGGAGTAAGGATACTTATCTACACTGTTGCTTGGCAAGATGTCTTAAAATGTATATGGAAGTTGCTATTAAATATAATTTGAAGTACATGCTCTCGTGTGAGGGGAGAAATAAGTTTGTTATACTATATTCCATAGCCTTTGAGGAAACTGTGATTTTTTTTTTTAAGCCGTAAAAGACAGCTTCACCAAGAATGTTTTCTAATCCGCACTATCCTTATCCAAATTGGAAGAGCACCAGCTTTAGTTTCCATGTGTCTGCACTTCTGTCATTTTCAACTTGTAGCTAGTAATCTGTGCAGTCAATATATGAAGCTCATTATTGTCCAAACCAAAAAGAAGTAATTGTGAATTAGTTAGCAGGTTCATGCAAGGACTCCATTTGGTATCCTTTTAAACAAACCATTGTAAGTGACTAATCCATCCATTTCCCTGCTTGCACACAACACAAAAGATTTATAGGTCTGTATGGAGTCTAAGATGCACAGTTACTTTCCCAGGTTTAGCATCTTTCATGCAATTCATTCCGAAGTCCTTTATAATCTATAGATCAGTGGTTCCCAAACTTGTTCCGCCACTTGTGCAGGGAAAGCCCCTGGTGGGCCGGGCCGGTTTGTTTACCTGCCGCGTCCACGGGTTCGGCCGATCGCGGCTCCCAGTGGCCGTGGTTCGCGGCTCCAGGCCAATGGGAGCCGCTGGAAGCAGCGGCCAGTACGTCCCTTGGCCCACACCGCTTCCAGCAGCTCCCATTGGCTTGGAGCAGCGAACCGCAGCCACTGGGAGCCATGATTGGCCAAACCTGTGGACGTGGCAGGTAAACAAACTGGCCCAGCCCCGCAGGGGCTTTCACCGCACAAGCGACGGAACAAGTTTGGGAACCACTGCTATAGATGATTAAATGGTTCTTTTATTTCCCGGTAAAATAAAGACTAAGTGAATACTTGAAACACCTTAAGCTTTAGAGCCTTGAAGGACTTTTCCCAGAACCTCAAACATGGTTTAGAAGTAGGAAAGGATCGTTAACATGTACATAGCTAAAGCATTGCACTGCTGACAGCCTTCAAGCTCCCCTCTTTTCAACCTGATTTCAGAGTCTGGCAGCCACGTGGAACTGTGTTCAGAACGATAACTCATAACCTCCGTCTTACGCTTGTGGGTTTTTTTGTTTTTGTCTCTGTAGGAGAATTTTTCCTCTGCTATGATCCACAGAAAGATTACTGGGGTTTTTTAACCCCAATGACTGTGCCTAGAATCCAAGGCTTGGCAGCTGTATACAATGACTCCATCTACTACATCGCTGGAACCTGTGGAAATCATCAGCGTATGTTTACCGTAGAGGCCTATGACATCGAGCTAAATAAGTGGACTAGAAAAAAGGACTTCCCATGCGATCAGTCCATTAATCCCTATATTAAACTGGTACTCTTCAAAAACAAACTCCATTTGTTTGTCAGAGCCACTCAAGTCACTGTTGAAGAACATGTTTTCAGAACCAGCAGGAAGAATTCACTCTATCAGTATGATGAGGTTACTGACCAATGGCAGAAAGTGTATGAGACTCCAGATAGGCTTTGGGATTTAGGCCGGCATTTTGAATGTGCTGTTGCTAAGTTGTATCCGCAGTGTCTTCAGAAAGTTATTTAATTTTATTCGCTAACAAGCCTTAGTGATTTCAGTGGTATCTGATGTTAGAGAAAACATGTCTTAAAAGAAAACAAAGCAATTGTCAGTATTTAATGTCAGCGGAAAGAGAGAGTTTTTTGTACATGGGGATGGGTGCTCTTTAAAGGTTGCAGGCTTGGGAGGGAATTACTCGTTCATTTTAAAATTGCTGATATTTTCCAGGGGAGCAAGAAGGAGGTTACAAAGTGCAATTATCAGCATTTTTTTTTCTGGTAAACACTTAATCATGTCATTCTTGAGGAGTGTGTTTTGTGATAAAAGTAAACAAAGAATAGAAAAGCCAGGATAACTATGCACTACAATGAAAGAAAATTAGCATTAATAGCTAAGGACATCCAAGCTGGTCTGAAGTGACTTTTTTTTTTTTTAAATACGGGTAAAATCCTGAGGCAATATCACTAGGTCTTTATGTTAGATCAACTGAAAGTACAAAGAGGAATGCTAGCTCCTGATTCTTTTTTTGTACTGTTTTGAAGTCTACTAAAATGTTCATAATGTTGTTTGTGCACTACCTTAGTTTGAGGGAAATATTGAAGTTGGAAGCAGAACATGAAGTATATTTGTTCGAAACAGAGAAGGCCTACTGTCATTTTCTATCTGTGGGCTTTGTTAAAATCAAGCTAACAGTATAAATAGCTATTTTCTGCCAATTACCGATAAATGTAGTGCTTGAAAAGTAGTTTTGACACTGCTTAAAAACATTTTCCATCCCATAAAGGGCTTAAACCCAAAAGTTGATGGTGCTAATACATTTTTAATACTTGTATGACTGAAATGAATGGGCCAACCCTACACCACTATTTAAAACAGCTTGCTATTATTAATGGAGTCTGTCTTCTTAGGACCCTATCTTGCCATTGTGGGGTTTTTTTTGTTTTAAGTAACAGTTTACTGCAGTGGGAGTTCCTGCACAGAATGATGACAGGATATGGCCTTAGTGGCTGTTAATTTTGTGGAGAGCTCATTCTGCCTCTCATAAAGGGTTTGCATGTGCTCAAGTAATACTGAAAAATGTGGCTTAACTTGATTATTCTCCTCCTTTTTCCAAACCCCCAATTACCTTTTACTATTCTGTTCTGACCTATAATGTGAAAATTTTGCACTACTGAGCTGTCCTCATGATCCAATTTATTAAAACAAAGTTATCCACAGAAATCCATGGTTTAAAGAACTTTAAATGCAGATGCAGAATAAGGATCCAATATATTATAACACTTTCTCTGTGGATTGAACATCTAACTTATTTTTCTAATGATAAAGTAAGTTTAAAGTTTAGCTTCTTCAATCGTTAAAACTGGATGTAAAAGGGAAATGTTTAATCCTAGAGCTCATATCAGCTCTGCTTTGCCAGGTGTAATTTGTTACAAAGCTTATTCTCTCCAGAACGAGGCATGTTGTATCTTCCTATATATTTAACTGATTAACTTCTCAAATTGAGGTAAAGGAAAGCTGTTTTATTTTAAATTGATAATGGTAAGTATTGTAGCAAAGGATGGCCATTATCTGAATTAACAGCTGTTTCAATAAGCCAAATGTTTCACTCAGTAATAGTGTAACACCCTGGCATAACTGTTGAGAGACTTGGGATAACATTAACTCAGTGTATGGCCTTGTTGTCACAAAATAGGGTTTTATTTTTTTTTAAAGAAACAAACTCACTTGGTTTTGTTTTTTAAATCTTGCACAAAATATCAAAAAATGAACTGTGAAACTAAAAGGAAAAAAAAAAAGCCTCTTTGCATTTACATACCTCATTGTCCAGAGATTGACCAGACTGCTTCTTTTAGGTGTGGGTGCTGGAACATCCTTTAAGATCGAGATCATATGAATAGTTGCTAAGAATGCATTTTTAAACAATGTTAAGGTATGTGGCTTCTCTTTTTGTTTAGTTCCTTCAAGATACTATTGTTATCCACTGCCCACAATAAGAATTTTTCTTATAAGACTATTTCCATGGCTTTTTTTTTTTTTTTTAACATTTTCCATAGTCCTTGCCTAGTTCTATTTGTGCTATTGTAGGACTCTAGCTGCAAGCTTTCTGAAGCACCCTCCCTTACAGTATTGCATTAGTGTGTAAAACCTTTTTTTCCTCCAAAAAGTGTTATGTAACTCTTTGTTGTTTTTTAAAAGCTTGGTTGACTATTTACAAGATTTCTTGCTGCTTTTTGACAATCTTCTATATTTATTTAGTAGAACAAATTTCAATATATTACTTGAAAATATTAAATAGAATTTTGAGTTAACAATTGACTGCTCATGTGATGTATAGACGTACAATATGCTGTGGTTAATTCTGCAGTAGGTTTGTTAATTTTGTTTATCTGCACTAAAGTACGAAGATCTCCATTTTCTTTAACCATTCAAAATAAGATTGTGATCCAAGACTGTAATGTGCTTAAAAGCTAAATCCTGGAACTTGCATAGGAGGAGAAAATACTGAATCTTATGCATGAATACTTTGTTTAAACAGAAATATAGCTGAGACATTTTGCCACTTCTTAAATGCTTTTAAATTCTTTAAAAGTCAGATAACTGGTGAAGTCTTGCTGTAGCATCAGACTTTAAAAATAAACTTGCACAGTGTGAGAACAATTGATTAAAACTGCACCAAAGGTACTCGTAATTTACATATGGCTCTCTGCATCCTCTCTCTGCCCATTTATCGTTTCTTCTGCTCTGGTTTAGACTGCCCTTATTAAATTGACACTTACTCTTATGCTGATACTTTAAATTTAAACATTCCCCCCTCCTAATCTTATCAAAACACACAATAATTTGTACTCCCCATTTTCTTCTAAATTTTGATGTTGATTAAATCACTAAAACTGATCTTGGTGCATCAGACATGTGTAGTGCGTATGATCTGTAAGAAATCGAAGAGCTCCCTGTTGCTGTTTAGAAATGGCATCCAATGTTCAGTGCTCAGGTATGTTAGTAAGAAGTACTGTAGTCCTATGAGGGCAAATGTGTGGATTTTTAAACATTTTGCCATAATTGCACAATTTTTGCATTTTTACTTAATGTCATGTTACGTTTCTTATAAAAAAAATAAACCTATTGTTGAAATACAACGGACTTCAACAGTTTTTAATTGTAAATGTATTTTAAAATGAAGTTGGTAGAGCGAGCAAGTAGAAATTCATCCGTGTGCTCTCTTCCCAGCTCTGCAGTTCTACATCTCAAATATTTGCCATCCCTGCACTTTGAGGCACCCTGGCACACTGTGGTGAGGGAAGCTGGTGCGGCCTCTGATACATCTCTGCTCCATACACATGTAGGAATGTAGAGCAGCCAGAAACGCCTTTGCCAATGCAGGCAGGACCAACTTGAGGGTCTCCCCACCCCACACCTCCCTTGGGCTGTTACGACTTGTGCCAGTTTTGCAAGGCTGTTTATAATTTTGTTCAAATTGTCCTTTTTTGCATAGCACTCCCTATCCTAGGGTCACTGGGTACTTTACAAACCTTATATTGAGCTTTCCAGCATCCTACGAAGTAGGGAAGTATTTCACAGGTAGTGAAAGAGAGGTACAGAGTGGTTAAGCAACATGGTTGAGTTCGCATAGGAAGTGAATTGGGAATATTACTGAGACCTCCTGCTCTTTGACTTTAACCACAAGTCCACCTTCTAAGTAACTAGTTAACTCGCTAGAACAGAATGGGTTGTAGCACCCTTATCAGCACAGTACATTCTCCAAGATTTCTCTCCTTGTAATGAATTTCACAGCACTTAAAGCTGCATCTGGAGAATCTCTGCTTGTATGTTACATGGTTTGTTTGTGAGCCTTGCATTCTTGCTGAAGGAATGCCAGATGATCTAGCGCCGATGGGCTGGCTCCATGGTTTCCGGGAAAGGCAGTGTGAAGCGGTCAGTCCTGGGTGACCGTGACCATGTGCTGACTGGAGCCCACTCTGAGCTTCAGTTTAGAATGTTCTGCCTCCCGCAACAATATTGAGTAGTACTCTGCAACTCCCACATGAAACCCGTTCTAGCTTTGGCACCCTTACAATGTGTTCTCAGTTTCTGGGCATTTTTTTTTAGTGACTCTAGGCAGGGTTTAGCCACTTGCCTTAATTAATGGTTGGCGTATCCTTCCTCTGATAGTCAATCTACTTTCCTCCCTGCTCACAGGTACTCAGTGATGTTAGTGCCTTTTCTGTTTACAAACTTGCCAATGGTTGTAAGAGACTCATACTTGGGAGGGAGCCATAGGAAGGGAAAACCTCTTTTTGCCCTGTGTGGCCCAGGCTATACTGCAGGCAGTTCTGGCCATGCCTGAAAGGCTTCTGCCAAAACCCAGGAATGCTTCCCATTGAAGTCCAAGCTAAAAGGCTGATCAAACCAGCATGGAGGAGGTCAGTGAAGTGTCAGTCTGTGTCCTCCTGTGTGTCTTGTATGGGACTGAATACATTAAGAGTAAACGTTAAATTACTCTCCTCCCCAATAGCTATTCCTCTGCTTCAGTCTCCACTTCCAATGTCCCCACCAGAGACTGGGATGGAGTGATGACTTGCACTAGGCAGACAGGCCAGAGTACAGCCAGCCTGACCTAGTGTGAACTAACATACAGCCAGTGGTGGAGGTAGATGGGAGTTCAAACTGATCCCAGGAGGGTTTGAAATAGCAGATGATTTATTTCCCATACAACTTCTGTCCAGTGTCTAAGAATCCTCTGCTAAGGGAGGATTAACCTGAATTCTCCCCTCCACTCTTTCCATTGGTTGATAGAAAGAAAAGAGGGGAAAGCCCCCAAATTCGGATTACTCATAAGGATGACGTCTCTGGTATGATAGTATAAACCCCTTGGACTAATCCATTACCAGAAAGAGGTGAAGCTGACAAAGAATACTTCACCTCCAAGAACAACACAAACCTTCCTCTGGATTCCCTAAGTGAGGGAATTATCAAAGCCAAAGAGGGAGAGATTGCAATAGGGAGATCAGATTAAGTCCCAGTCTTCAATGTGGACAAAGCTGAAGCTTCAAAAGCTTAAAAAACCTATTCTCTCCACAGCAGGAGATTTCTAACCAAAGAGACAATAGAACTGAAGGATCACTGCACAGGAACGTAGGAAGCAGAACATGTATATCAGCCAGTGCCCTCTAGTCCTAGCCTTGTCTGAATGTTTTTTGTTCTCTGTACTTGCTTGGCTGTGGAGTTCATGGCTATTTCCAAAGGATATCAAAGGAGCTATGAACAAAATTGGCTATAGCATCATTCAGAGGAGAGGTTTCTAT